CCCGCCGTACCGCGCGCCCCTTGAGTTTACGTCAGCTCACGGCAAGGGGCGAGGGGCGGGGACTCATAACCGGACTCGGATTGGACAGCGAGGGGGGACTGGGAGGCAGGGACACGGTGATTGGTGAACACGGCGCGTTCCTGGATTTGAAGCGAGAAAACCTGGCGCGCAGGAGCTCAGCACTGCCGCCAGCTGAAGGGCTTATAGTCCTAGCTGAACTGCAGGCGCCTTGAGAGGTTTGGCCAACTTTAAAATGTCATATTCAGTTTAAGACCCCCCCAAAGCACCTTCAGTCACCACTCCTGGTGAACAGACTACCTAATGCGTTCTTTTTTTCTTTTTTTTTTTTTGAGAGGTTTTCGCTATAGGGCGCATGCGCGCGCCAGACAGAGATAGAAAGCTAGAAATCACCCCCCAGAAGGGATGGTCACGCCGCAATCCCTTCTCCATTCTCCTCTCGGGATCTTGGGCACGCATGCACACGCGCCCGGCGTGAGTTTTCAGCCACCGGGTCCAGGACGCGAACCGCGGTTCACTAAGTGGGAGTCCAGCGACATAGCCATTATGCTAACTGCTGGTTCCCGCATTCTTTTTTTTTTTTTTTTGGAGAGGTTTTTTCTATAGGGCTTGTGTGCTGGCCAGACAGAGACAGACAGACAGAAAGTGAGAAATCACACACACACACACACCCAGGGGATGGTCACGCTGCAATCCCTTCTCCATTCTCCTCTCGGGATCTTGGGCACGCACGCACACGCACCCAGCGTGAGATTTAAGCCACCACATCCAGGACGCGAACCACGGTCGACTACATGGGAGTCCAGCCACATAGCCATTACACTAACTGCTGGTCCCCCTGATGCGTTCTTGTCCTAAGTCAGCTGACTTATCAACATTTGGTAGACGTTGGAATGTGTCATGATTTGCCTTCAAAAGTCATTTTCAGGATCCAAGTTTCATATTAATAGTACGCTACATGTAATTGCCGTTTTCTGACAGTAAGGTTGGGCTCTGAGAAAAGTTAGATGGGACATAATTCTTTGCTAATTAGCTTGGGTCACAAATCCCATCACTGCCATCTGCTCGGTACAACCACTTAACTACTAACTTACTGACTATAAGGTAACTCAGTTCCACATCTTTTCCTCAAAATTTATCTCAAAATTTTTTTCATACCATCTTTTTTTTGGGGGGGGGGAGGTTTTTGCTATAGGGCGCGTGCACTCGCCAGAAAGAGAAAGACAAATAAAAAGCCAGAAAGCACCCCCCAGGGGGGATGGCCACACCACAGTCGCTCCTCCTCTGGGGATCTTGGTCACCCACGCACACACGCCCGGCGTGAGTTTAAGCCACCGGGTCCGGGACTTCACCATGGTTGGCTACAAGGGAGTTCAACAACATAGCTATTACGCCAACTGCTAGTCCCTGTACCATCTTTTATCTCAAGTTTTTCTTCTAGTCTCAGAAGAGAAGAGAGCCTCTTTTTTCCAATTCCTTAATTTCATTCATTCAACAATTACTCCATGTTTAAGATGCACTGTGTACTTAGGAGTAGACAAAAAACAAAGTTGAGTTTAACAGTCCCTATTCCTGTGTTTAGCCTAGTGAGAAAAGATGTTTATTTCATCCCTTGCTTTTCTGACTCCTCCAAAACACTAGTCAGCTCTCATTAAGCATACTCTCCCCACAGGTTCCTGCCTATAAAAATGCTGCACTCTACACCTAGACACACACCCTTTGAGTGTGCTTTAATGCCTAAAAATCCTCTTCAATTGCCTCCACTTTCACACTTTTTCCCCCATCCCATGTTACCTACCTTAGCACTACTTTTAAATTTATCAGGAATGACCACCTAATTGTCAAACTCAATGATACTACACAGTTCTGACATCCCAAAACCTTCAGCTTGGGATTTGCAAAGTGGACTTTATTTCTACCTTTGTCCATATTCAATGAGCAAATAGTGGGGAAAAATCTCACAATTTTCTGAACCCTTAAAAAAAAGCAACTTAGCTTTACAAGGGCGTATATGTATTTGCGTGTAATGAACCATCTTTTTTTCTTGCTGTAGGACTCGTGCACTCACTGGAGGAGGGCAGGTGAGGAAAGCATGCTCCAGGGATAGCACTACAATCCCTTCATTCTCTTATCTGGATTTTGGGCATTCATACGTCCCTAGTTTTTCAAGCGGCAAGGCCTGGGACTCAAACAGTGCAGCTGGCCAGGTGGAATCCAGCCGCTTTAACCACATCACCAACTGGCCCGAGCCAATCTTCTTGTGCAAAGTATCTTTTTTTCTAATCCAGACATATTTGCTATAGGGCCTATGCGCTTGCTGGGGTCATACCACAATCTCTTCTCCTCCACTCTTTTTGGAATTTTGGGCATGCATGCACAAACACCCAGCGTGAGTTTTAAGCCACTAGGTCTAGGACTTTAACTGCAGTGAATATGGGAGTACAGTGCCTTAACCACTATAACACCTGCTGGCCCCTGCAAAATATCTCAATCCTTCAATCTACACAGTGGCTATATACTAGATGTGAACTACTAGAATGTGTCTACATGTTCCAGATTGTCATTCATCCCTGACACTCAATTCAGTCATCCTTCCTCCATATTCATCTTCAAGTCACCAAAGCTCAGCAACCTGATAGAAGTCTAGTGACAGAGATGTACAAAACAAAAGTTATCTGCAGGCAGAACCTGGACTGCTCAGCTCTGAATCCTGGCCCCCTTCCTTTCTGGCTGTTTAGCCTTGAACAAATAGTTTTAACTTGCAATGCCCTCACCTGCAAAATGGGATTAATTCGAGAATTTGCCTCAGAGGTTTGTTGTGAAGATTTAAAACAAGAAGTCATGTAAGAGATCTTAAAAAAAAAAAAAAAAAAGGCAAATAAAAGTACTCAACAAATACTATTATCTTACACCTGAATGTCTAACCTTACTTAAAACAGGAGATCAATAAATCTCCCAATGTGATTTTGAAATTTTAGACATTCCGTAGAACCTGCAGCAGCTCCATGCCGGGGTGCTTCCCAGGAAGAGATACTGTTATGTGACCATGCCCCACTGGGCGTGTTTTCTCCATCCCCACCCTGGCTCTCTGGCAAGTGCACCTCTGGCAAATTAAAAAAAGAAAATGAAGAAAAAAATTTCAAATGTCCCTTGAAGTTAATAGAATATATTCTATTGGTTCTTAATCCTTTGTATGTTAAAAAGCTGTGGGAAGAAATAAAACCAGCAGCTCTGGGAGTATACTATTCAAGAAAAGTTGTCTTCATATAGTAGGCCAGCTGGTGGCATGGTAGTTAAGGCACTGGATTCCCACACAGCCTTACCAAGTTTCAAGTCCCTGCAGCCTGAAAATCACTCCAGGCACGTGTGTGGGAGTGCCCAAAATCCCAAGAGGATAGAGAAGGGACTGCAGCAAGGACATCCTCCCAGGGAGTGATTTCTCACTTTCCTTCTCTGTCTTAGCCCCTTTGGCAAGTGCACGTGCTCTGTGGCAAAAACCTAAAACACACACACACACAGGACATGCATGAATGTGTGCCCTCAACCGTGAGAGAATGGAATAGAAGGGATTACAATATGTCCATGCCCTCTGAGGTGGTGCTTTCTCACTTTCTATGTCTGGTGGGTGCACGTGCCGTATATCAAAAATTAAAAATAAAACAATATATAGTGGAGCCAGCAGGTGGTATAGTGGTTAAGGTGCTGAACTTGCATGTGGCCCACCGCGGTTTGAGTCCTGGACCTAGTGACTTGACACTCATGCTGAGCACATGTACGTGCGTGAAAGAGTGCAGGAGAGAGAGGGCGTTGGGTGTGGCCACCCCTCCACAGGGTGATTTCTCACCTTCTGTCTCTGTCTCTCCGTATCTCCAGCAAGCACACACATCCTATAGCAAATCTCTCAAAGGAAAAAAATACATACATGTGTATGTGTGTGTGTAATTACAACAATTGTGGTACTTACATGATTAACTTATAGACATATATATAAAATGCTGTTCAAAATCTCTCTCTCAGGACCAGAAGACGGCATGATGGTTACGTTGTTGGAATCCCATGTAGTAGACTGCTGTAGGAGTCTTGGACCTGGCAGCTCAAAACTCACGCCAGATGCATGTGCGTACATATGTGCATGTCCAAGATCCCAAGAGGAGAATGGAGAAAACTGTGATGTGGCCGTCCCCCTTGGGGGGTGATTTATCACTTTCTGTCTCTCTGGCGAGCACATAGCAAATATCTCTTAAAGGACCAGCAGTTAGCATAATGGCTATGTCACTGGACTCCCATGTAATCAACCATGGTTTGAGTCCTGGACCCAGTGGCTTAAACTCATGCCGGTGCATGTGCATGCATGCCCAAGATCCCAAGAGGAGAATGGAGAAGGGATTGCGGTGTGGCCATCCCCCCTGGGGGTGATTTCTCACGTTCTGTCTCTCTGTCTCACACCCTATAGCAAAAAACCTCTTAATAATAAAAATTTTTTTTAAAAATCTCTCTTAAAACAAACAAACAAATACATCTCTCTGTAGACCTGGAAGGTTAAATACTTGATAAATACTTGACAAAAACTTAACCAAAAAATTCTACGGTCCAACAGTAATTTTTCCATTAATTATCAACTATAATTTTAAAATATTTTAGGAACCAGTCTATTCTAATATTTACTAATTAGACTGAAAGTCAACATCTGTCAGTTCTAGATGTTAACCTACATACTGACTTTCTACCTTTTAAGTAAATGTAATGCTTGTTCATGCTCTAATTTTTGTTTTTGTTCTTGTGACATGGCAAAAGAATAAGAGCTTTACCAACTATATTAAATAAAATCATTCTATTTTTATAAGGCAACAGATTAATGTTTTAAAAATGTGTTTTATTAAATAACCTACTTGAATAATAATTACAAAGAACTTTAAGCAATAATTCCAAGTAGTGAAAGGCAATTTCCATTAAAAAAAGAAAAAAGTCCATATTATGTTTTGCTGCTTTATACACAGGAATGATTTATTTTACATACTAGCCAGATGCAACGTTTGCTTGTAAAATTTTAAAAAAGTTCTTAATGTCTCAATGGCAAAGTGAACTTCATAATGTATGCTTTTTTTAAATTTTATTTTCACATTAACCAGTATGACAAAGCATAAGAAACTTAAAAGTAGGATAGCAATTCAAAATAAAATTTACAAAACAGGCACTTGGAAGACAGCTACTGCATGTAATTTTTACAGCTTATGTCATTTGTATGCATCTCATTTCATCAAAGGTTAGCAACCACTGAAGCAACTATTCCTTTGATGCAGACGCACAAACAGGCTTAGGTTCCAAATACTGTGTTCTGGTTGTAATACATGCAAGACAAAACCTAAATTAGGAATATATCTTCTGCAAGAAAATAAAAACAAAAAGCAGCCAAGAATGAAAGCATTTACAAGCATTTGAACAAGGCCTTAAAATATTCAATCAGTGTTTTAAACCCCTTCATTCTCAGGTAAGGGATTAAGAGGCCCAGAGAGATATCGTCTACGAGGGTGAGGATACTGGAGGTTGGCAGTGTCAGCATCACAAGAGTGCTCTACCAGAGGAGGAGGAGGAGGAGGAAGGAGCTGGGCAGAACTGGACCATCTCGATCCAGCCCGTGGGGAATCCAGAGGGGGAAAGAAATACCTGAAACAATGAAGACAGGAACAAAACACCAAAACAAAACAAAACAAAAACAACAGGGAAAAAAAAAAAAAGAAGAAGAAGAAGAAAAAGAGAAGAGTAGTAAATACAAGGAGAACCAAAGGGGAGAAAACACATGCTAGGAAAAAAAAGGCTTTAGTATATTCATGCCAAAACTAACAGAATGTACTAGGCACAAATCAAGAAGACCCTCAAATCAAAATCGCTTAAGCAAGTATAGAAACTTGAAAGAAACACAATCGGTTAAAATCTCCAAAAAAAATTATCAGTATGTTACAAAGATACTAATTTTATAAATTTTTAACATTTCCTAATCTCTCAAAAACACATTTACACTATTCTGTAAATTTACAAATCTAATCATCTTTCTGATTTGAGCAATTTCTAGTGGCAGCAGGCACACATTTGTAGTGCATACATGATACTGAGAACCAATTCAAATACATTTTCATGTAGTATACCTGACTACCTCAACATGCTCTTGAAGAAATACAATCATTGTACATATTTATTTTTTGCAAAAACCTTAGAACAGCTAAAGAATTTTAAGTAAAAGGGCTCAAAAGTTATCATGCCCTATTATTCTTCTGCCACTTTATAATTTACCCGTACCGTAATACATATGCATTTTAGCAAACTTAAAAGATTTATAGCTTTGTCATCAAGGTCACAGCTTTAGATACAAACTAACTGAAACAATCAACTAAATTATGAAAATACTGAGACAGGAAATGCTACGGTCAATTTACATGCTAAATTTTAGCAAAAATTTAACTTGCTTCTCTTATGTTTCCAAATTTTGATTGAAGGAAACTAAAGCTATGGAGTTACACCATAAAATGTACAAAGGCCTATCAGAAACATTTTTAACCTTAGGGATTATGAATTGAGAGCTTATAAACATGCTTCCATTTTACTACCAAATTATAAATGAAGCAATACTGAATGCTTAACTTCACTAGAAACTGTACAGACAAATTACTTTCATTTTACTACTACTCTTGTAATTCACTAAAATTTTTTAATATTACAAAGAAATGACAGTTGTACTGAATGTTATCATTTATAAAGCAACTTTAAAAAGATAAACAAATTAACACTCAAAACAATCTTTATGAAAAATATTTATTCAATTTTCAAATTAAAATTACAAAAATTCATTATTTTAGCTGTTTTAAAAAACAAAAATATGCCTACACTTTCCAAATTGAATAAAATTGGTAGCTCCAAATGAATATTTTCTCTCCTCCCAATTACTTATAAGGATAATAACAATCCTTTTCATTTGTAATCACAAATTTTTCAGAAACATTTCAAAAAATTGTTTTGGTGATGACGTATCAACAAAAAGCCTCTCCATTTATATTTCGAAAGTTTCAAATAGTGTCAGTAAACTAACTGGTACAAAAAAGTGGTATACGCTCTATTTTTAAAGGCCTTTTGAACTGCGTTTAGTAGTAAGCAGGCTGCTGGTGTATCTTGGGAGAGGTCAAACGATGCTGGGGAAGGGGGAAAGGAGCTTGCTTTCCATTCCTGTGTGCATGCAACAAGCAGCAAAACAGCAAAGTTACTCCAGTTAGCTTGTACTCAGCTGTGCTTTCTGTTAAAGGACATAATACAAATGGAGAAGGGAAAATGCATCACAGATCTAACACACATGGTTATTGGCACAATAAGAATACAGATCAAAACATCAACGCTAATAAGAAAAGAAAATATGCAGTATGGGTAGCAACCAAAACCCACATCATTTTTTAAATTAACTCCAGTATTTTTGTTTCATGAAATCATCTTTATAATCTGTTATTTTCTACTGTAATCTGGAATTATTCTTGATGCAAATTCTTGAAACCTTCAAAACCAGTATTTCTTTATAAACATGTAACAATGTAAAAACAACTGAAGAAATATTAAATGCAGTTTTCTTCTTTTATGAAAAATAGGATAACGACACGACAGTTTAAGTCTGTTTTTTGATTTTTGGATTGTTTTGTTTTGTTTTTCATTTTTAAGACAGGGTCCCAATCCTCCTGCCTCCACCTCCTATCTAGCTGGGCATGTAGATATGCACCACTGTACCTGGCTTTTAAAAGGGTGGGCCAGGAATCAAAACCGGGCCTCCCAAGTGACCTCAGCCTGCCAAGTAGCAAGCCATCTACCAACAAGTACTACCACGGCTGGACCAAGATGTGCTTTAAACTCTCCTAAATTCTATTCCAAATTTTATTTTACAAATTCACATATTTGACATTTGAATGTGAAACAAAAGGACAGCTCTTTGGATCACATCAAGTATTCTATGATAAACAAAAGTCTAAAATATACTAAGTAGTATATAAATCAAGATCTGACCTCATCATTTCCTCTTATAATTTTCATTAAAGTTTGAATATAAAAGTTAAATCATTTAACTCCGTTCTACAAAGTCTTAATTAATAAAGCTTATTTAAAACTTCAGTCTGACCTGATATGAAGTCTACATTATGAGCACTAAAACACAACAATGCTCATTTAGGACTAAAATCTTCACTATTGAGCCATATTTCCTCTTCCTTTCGCTATTACACAAGTAAAATCTTAAAGCTATAAACATTTCTACTGACAAATCACTGAATTTAAGAATGTAACTTGGTTTGGGGCCAGCAGGTGGTGTGGTGGTTAGGGCCACTGGATTTCCACATGGCCGACCATGGTTTGAGTCCTGGACCTGGCGGCTTACTTTCTCTCTCTCTCTCTCTCTCTCTCTCAATCTCACTCTGTCCCTCTCTGGTCAAATTAAAATAAAGTTAAATAAAATAATTCTTTAAAAAAAAAAAAAAAAAGAATGTAACTTGGTTTAACCTACCTCCAAATATTATGACCACTTAAGCCAAAAGCAGAGCTAACAAAATGAGTATTTAAAATTTTAATTTTTTTTAAAGTTTGTTAGAATGTGTGCACATCACCAGAGAGAGAAGGAAAATGAGAACACACCCTCCACAGGAGATGGTCACACTGTAATCCTTTCTTCTCCATTTATCTCTCATATCATGGTTTAGGGCACACACACACATATGCCTAGCATGTTTTCAACACACCAGATCCAGGACTTGAACTGCATTAGTCATCCATTTGGAACCCGGTCAAGTTAACCATAATGCCACAAGCTGACCTAATTTGAGTGTCTTAATTACATGGGAATATCTTCACTCCATCTTAAAATTCACAAAGTAACACGCCTTTACTAAAGCTACCAGAATGACTTAAAAAGGAGACAATCTCCAGTTTTACCACAAAACAGCCTACCTGCCAGCAGAAGATCCGTTTAATGAATTTTGAAGATTTGGAATATTTGAACCTACGGAGGGATTTGAGTTCCCCTGCTGAGAGCTCCCATTGACTGGGCTCCCATTACCTTTCAAAATACCAGTACACTTCCAGTTGTCCATGTAATTGGCTGAAAGGAAAATGGTCAAATGCATTAACATCACTAACACCCATGCACAAGGGCACAAATCTTTATACACGTCCTAAAACTATAGTTAAAGAAACAAAAGAGAAGTTATGGGCTACGTCTTACAGCATAAACTTTTTTTACCCTTCATGCCAAAAGGTGGGTATGCTTGCCAGAGAGAGACAGAGAGAAAGACAAAGCAAGACAGGACTCCTCCAAAGGGAATCGTCATGCTGCAATCCCTTCTCCATTTTTCCCTCCTTTCAAGATAATGGACATATATGCACATGCACCCAGCATGTTCTTCAAGCTACTGTATCTCAGACTTCAACTGTGCTGTTGGCCACGTGAGATTGAACAATCTTAACCATTATGCTGTGGGCTGGCTCTTTCAGGATAAACATAAGACATTTTTTAAATGAAATGTGTATTATCTCAGTTTTAACAATATTTAAAAGTTTTTAAAGAATTACTAATTTTAAAAAGAACTTTCATCACCTACTTACCTTCAAGATAAACGTTAGCAGACAATTCTTTAAGCTACCATATTATATAACATTATAAAGCTAATAGCGAAGTAAAATTTGTCTTGATCATATTGAATTTCACCAACTTATGAGGAGACTTCTAAAAATTCATTTAAAAATGGTATTAAAGTACAGGGTGTATTTTTGTGCAAAAAATGAAGTCCATGCATACTTTTTTCATAATGCAGACTTCCAATGAACTTTTTGAAGACCTCTCATGTATTTAAGGTAATGGTGTTGTACTTTTCATTATGTAAATTACATGGGTTCCTATTGTCTCCAGAGATGTATATATTAGGTCCTCGTGAAAGTCATGACAGATTTTTCTTTTTCTATGCAAAAATGTGTCATTGCTTTCCCATGACTTGAGAAGTAACAAGCCTATGGGGTGGCTTATTAAACATGGCTTAATTCTTTGAATGTAAAATTCATTACTCAAGATAATGAGCCCCCAAAAGCCATGTTAGGAAGCCTGCTGAAATGGTAGCTAAGCGGTCCCAATGCCCTTGCAGGAAAGGACAGCAAAGCCCTTGAAATCAAATGACACCAAGGGGAAAAAAGGTCTGGGCTGTTCTAGCATGGCCTACAACTGGACATGGGAAGCCCTCAAATGGCACTTTAGGAAAAGGTAAATACTCAGGGTAAATGAACTTAGCTATAATTTTGGATGTGAAGTATGGGATGCCACCCATGATGGTAGTTCACAAAGCACAAGACATCTCTGTCCAGTAAATAACACCCATGGAGGAGGGCAGAACCAAGCTACAGAAACCGCAGTCAGTGCCAACTGCTCAGAATGAGTTTTCTCTTAGGCATTTTTTGAATCAGGGACTCGGGGTTCTTGAAATTTTGAAAGTGGCAGAGAAAAAAATGCAATAAAAATACTGATTTTTATTTTTCCTATTAGGGATTAAGTTATATATAAAGCAAGTATTTAAATATAAAGCAAGTATTTAATAAAATAAGACATAAATGCAATACAATCTTGAGTTCTCAGAACAGTCAGACAAGTTATGTATGAGGCAAACAGTCCCTTTTTATTAGAAATACTGCATAATCTAATTACATTAGATTTAAAAGTTGCTTTCTTCCATATAAAAATTTTAAAACATATCAGTCATTAGCTGCTAAGAACTAGGTAAACTGATGTTCAAAATAACCTAACTTAATATGCCAATTATTAAAATAACTATAATAACTTTTTTCAAAATACTGGGTTGTCAGAAAAGTCATGACACATTTTACATAGAAAAACACAGAAAAAATACATCATTTTTTCAATAACCCAATATTTAAGAGTTTGCATTTTTTAGATGAAAGTTCTAAAACAGAAACATAAAGTAAAAAATTATCCACTGAAATATTACCTTTCCACAATCTTACACAGCCATCATCTCCAGAGGATGCTAGCACTGTTCCTGTTATATTCCAACTCACTCGCCAGACCTGAGAATTATGATTATCAAACTGAGCCACTATATGGATTTCAAATTTTGTTGGCCCACCAGAGGAAGTAAGTTCTTTCCTGCAATTTAAAAACAAAAACAAAAACAAAACAAAAAAACCTGAAAAAAGTTGTTTGTTTTTGGTTTTTTAGTTTTTTTACAGTTTTGCTATATGGCACATGTGCACCAGAGAGAGACTGAGAGAGAGGGAAAGTGAGAAACCACCTCCTGCAGAGATGGCCATGCTGCAATCTCTGCTCCTCTATTCTCCTCTTGGGATTTTGGGCATGTGTGCACACATGCCCAGCATGTTTTTTGTTGTTGTTGTTTTGGAGAGGTTTTTGCTATAGGGCGCGTGTGCTCGCCAGAAAGACAGAGAGAGACAAAGAGAAAGAAAGCGAGAAATCACTCCCCAGAGGGGATGGCCATGCTGCAATCCCTTCTCCTCCATTCTCTCCTCTTGGGATCTTGGGCCCAATTTAGGCCACCAGGTCCGGGACTCGAACCGCGGTCGACTGCATGGGAGTCCAGTGACATAGCCATTATGCTAACTGCTGGTCCTGCCCGCATGTTTTTTCAAGCAGCCAGGTCTGGGACTTGAGCCACACAGTTTACCACATGGGATCCAAAGCCTTAACTACCACACCACTTTTTTTTTTAATATATGTACTGCTTTTAAAAAAATAAGTGGTGGGAACAACAGCTGGCCTGATGACTATGTCGCTGGACTACCATGTATTTGACCACGGTTCGAGTCCCGGACCCAGTGGCTTAAACTCACACCAGGCACATGTGCATGCGTGCCTAAGACCCAGAGAAGGAACTAAAGAAGGGATTGCAGCATGGCCATCCCCTCTGGGGGGTGATTTCTCACTTTCTGTCTCTCTCTTTCTGGAGAGAGCCCTATAGCAAAAACCTCTCAAAAATAAATAAATAAATACAAATGGTGGGGCCAGATAGTAGCACAAGTACACAACATGACATTCTGTGAAGTTGACCAACATGGGAAGGTTTCCAGTCTAAGTCCAGAGACCTTCCTGAGTATATCAGACACATGATTGCCCATGATCCAGGGCTGGCTAAAGGCTGGGGTGGATCACAGCATCAAAACCCTATTGGAGGTCCTGTCTGTCTGTCTGTCTGTCTGTCTCTCTCGGAATAAACAGACTTATAAATAAAATTAGTAAGTTATTTTATTTAACTTTATTTATTTTATTTATTTATTATTTTTTTAATTTGACCAGAGAGAGTACAGAGCCAAGTGAGAAAGCAAGCCACCAGGTCTGGAACTCAAACCATGGTCTACCACGTGGGAGTTCAGCGTTTAACCATCACGCCATCTGCCGGCCACAAGGAAGAAATAATTTAAAAAAAAAACATGGCTTCACATATTTATTACTACATTATTTTGTAATAACATCCACATTCATATCCCCTCCCACCCCTTGGCCCCTAAGCTGAGCTGGTTAAATTTTCATTAGACTTCCTAGGACCTAGATTGATACCCACAAATAAATGATATTCAGGGGTTGTTTCAAGGAAGAAACCAACAACGAAATATTTTAATCCCCCCCAACATGGTTAAGAAATAAAACAGGTGATTAATTAATTTTTAAAAAGTAGGCCAGCAGTAGCAGCACAGCAGTAGCATACTGTTCTACAATACCAAGGACACATGGCAAGGTTCTAGGTTCAAGTTCCAAGATTGTCCTGTATACACTGAACACACAAGCATGCCTGTGATCCTTGCAGGCTGGGGGCGGGAGTGGATCATAACAAGAAGGCCCTGTTGGGAGGTGCCTGTCTCTCTCTCTGTCTTTCTCCGTGTCTCATAGAAGAAATGAACACACTTTTTCTTTAAAAAGGGGCTCAGCAGAAAGCATAGCAGTTATATCACTGTACTCCCACATGGTCAACGATGGTTTAAGTCTCAGACCTGGTGGCTTAAAACTTACACTGGGCATGTGTATCCATGGCACCCAATATGCCAGGAGAATGGAGAAGAA